GGCATCCCCAGCGCCCCTCCCCAAAAGGTTCCCTTTGTGCATGAAGACGGCCATTTTGGCTGCCGAGCTGCGCTTGAGCAGAGAGGGGAGGGAGAGAGAGAGAGGGCCGGACAGGCTCGGTGGCTTAGTTGTTACCGTTGATGGGTCTCATTGAAATCTGTAGAGCACAAGCTTCCCAGTGCTCCGGCCACATAAGCTTGTTCTTGCACACTCTATCGAGAGCCTACAACAATTCAGCAATTTGAGTTTTGCGCCCAAAATCCTTGCAATCTACTTGCCATGTTTTCTCGAGTTTTTGGGACACACTGTCTTTCATCTTAGCAATAGCGGTTCATAAGCCCTCGCATGTCAGAGTGTATATCATGATTATGTTGCGTGCTGCAGGGCATGCCTCATGTCGGCTGTGCGGGTTCACAATTTTGTGTTGTTTGCTTGTTTGCTTGTTTGTTGATTTTGTTTGCTTGTTTGGTTGGTTGGTTGGTTGGTTGCTTTGTTGTTTGGTTGTTCGGTTGTTTGGTTGTTTACATATGTATATATATATATATATTTCACCCTGGTTTCCCATGTCAACAGGATTTGCCGGGTCGATTCCTGGATTCCTTTTCGGCAGGTCTCGGGCCAGGAGTACGGGCGAGAGCCTGGCGCTCAGAAGTGCCGAGGAGTGCCCCAATGCTCGGCTTTGGGTTTCTCCGCACCTGGGAAGTTGACCAGGAAGTCTGGAGCCTTGGCATCCCTTTTCCCTCCGACATCTCGAGCAACGCGATTTATCTATTATTGTTTATTCTTGTGATTATCATTTGTGTTGTTTTATGTTGATTTTAATCTTATTTCATGTTTGTAGTCTTTCTTTCCTTGTTTTTTTGTTAGGGGGGAGGGCAGGGTTGTCTTTTTTGTCCGTACCTTGTCATTATGCGGGGGTGCGGCGGGGTGGTCCAGGCTGTAAATGTATTGCCCTCGGAACGAACGGGATGGATTCCGCTTGGAGGTATGCTGAATTGGTCCATATTGGTCCCAAACAATTGGCAAAAGGACCCTGTGAGGCGTGCTTATCATTTGGACAAGGGATAACTGGAAGACTTTCACTGGTTGGAGAATGTCCACCCGACCATATTGCTGGATTTCGAACTAGATTCTCCTAGACAACGTCCATGTACTTCTTTTCCCTAGGTGCGCTTTTGGGCACAAGAGCCACACGCTGGTGAGTGCTTGACAAGGAGGTCACATGGGTCAAAAATTATTCACCAGGGGATCGCAGGCTTTAGTCATTGTTTCCATTTACCAGGGTTCCATTTTGGGGTTACCCTATTTTTCACCCACACCCCCATTTCCCAGGCATCGCCTAGAGTTCGACCCTTGCAGCATCGACTTCTTCTCCAGCAGCTCCCTCAGCATAGCTTCGGCATGCTGGCTCGGGAAGGAGCTCGCTTCAAGGCTGAGCGTGGCATGTTGTGGCGAAATCAATAGCTGTTTCCAAAAAAAGCGACACTATGCGACTGTCAGCATGTGTTGCAATAGGCATGTGCTGGAAGCAATAGCTGCATGTGTTGCAATAGCTGTTTCCAAAGGCTTTTTTTTTTAAAGCTGCGTCAGGCACAGGTGGTAGCCTTTGCCTGTTGGAGGCTGTTGCGTCGGAAGTACATGCCGCTGCGATGCTTTCAGGGTTTGCCTGATTGCTCGGCACATGCGTGGCGCTGCTTTTTTGAGCGGAGCCAAAAAGGCCATTCACTGGAAGGCAGGCCTGGGCGATAGAACGTAGGTATTTGGTGGTGCGTTTGGTGCAGGTACGACACAAAATGCAATCCGGACAAAACACATGGTGCTGAGGCGGTGATTACTTTGTCCTCGGCGGCAGCAACAAAAAGGTCAGGAGCTTGAGCGCTTGGCGCACGGTCGGCGAGACTATTCCGTGTTTCACGCAGGGTAAGAAGGCAAAATCAGTATTAGACCCTAAGGGAATTGGTTTGGGCAGGTGGAGTATGTCGCTCACCCAAGCCTCTTTGCAACAGCTCGCACTTGTTGCAGTCCCGCAGTGTCCAATTTGGAGCCGAACCCAGTCAACAGTTGTGCCTTGGGGTAGGGCTACGCCCTGCTAAGGGTACATATGGGTAGGATGAGTTCTAAGGGTACATGATAATTCAGTGGCAATCAAGAGGATGGAGTTTCAGGAAAAGCAGGTACATAGTACATAAGGATATTTCGATCATCATAACTATCAACTGCGGCACAGGTGATCTTCAAAGGATGACTCGAAGAACGACGCAGGGAACTGCACTCACCAGGGAACACGGCACTCGCCCAGGTCTTTTAGGCACTCGGCTGGCTCTGCGATTCCGACTCGCCGTTGTTTCGCTCCGCCATGCAGCGAAGTGTGAGGGGGGTTTCCAGGCTAGATGAACTCCGGGTCAGGTTGAATTTGAGCGGCGAGTGATTACACACACACACACATTCATATTGTATCTAGATATGCAATACAACCTATATATATATATATATACACATGTTGCACGCAGGCACGATGTATTTGAGTTTTGAGTTTTGTTATACATATGCATTATGGGTATGCATCTACTAAATATGTGTATACATAAATGCATGTACATGCATATATATATATATATGTACGCATGCATGTTTATATATATATATATATATACAAGTATTCAAATGTACAGTATGTACACTAGATATACATAATATACATATATATATACATATGTATACGTGAAGAGTTATACATGTAATAACGGGGTACCTTTCAGATGTTCAACGCCTTTCCAACATGTACCGACTTCAGCCAATCCATGGCAGAGGTTCAGCTCTGGAGCCGGGAGGGCATCTACCTGGGTGACCTCGGGGAGCGCGACGACTGGATCTGGCAGGGGATGCCGCGATGCCGCGATCGGCTCGCCGCGCGCTTTTTCAGCCTGGGGCCTGCAAGGTACCTAGGTGGATTTTTGTTGGGAGACTGGGCAAACAGCGCGCTGCCACTGCCTGTTCCGATTTTTTTTGCCCCCAGGTGTTTTTTGGTCTGGGCAAAAAATGAACTAGGGTTGGCTGTTCTGATTTTTTTTGGGGGTGTCCCACGTAATCAAGGGGGGAATTCCTCTGCGATTCGGGGTCGGAGGCGGTCTACAGCGTCATATGACCGCAACAAATTGACCAAACCACAAAGGTGGAAACTTGGTATTGGATCCGTTTTTCTTGTTCAGTACCTCAGACAGAGTCGTTTCAGCACCTCTGTAAAACATCAAATAGAGATTGCTTCTGTGTTGTTTCCTCATGTTCGTAGATATTGCTTTGAGGCACTTGTTCTCCTTTGTGGATAGAGGCGAGGAGCTTTTGTGGAAGCTGTGTGGTTCAAGGTTTTTCTCGGGTGATCAAACAGCTGCCCCACAATTGGTCACTGTTTGATGGCATGTTGCATCAGGCAAAACATAGGGACCACAATCGCAGATGAAGGTGGGACCCAGGCTTCAGAATAGGTTGGCTGCTCCGCAGGTCTTGCGCGGTTCGCCCCAGGCCCTGTTTGCTTGCCGGGGGTGGGGGGCAGAGAACAGCAGGGGAGGCCGTCGGTGCTTGAGTTCTGTCATGACAGTCAGGGTGTCAATTATTTTGTCCTTGAAGCCCTGAGATTTGTTTTTGGTTGCCATATGTATATTTATCTTGGTTGAGAGGGATTGAGTTGGTAGGGTCTCCAACCTGTGAATGTGCCAGAGCTCTCAACAGAAAACGTGTGAGAAGCATCTGGCAACACAACGCACGGTCACGATAGGGATGACGAATACGACAAGTTCCGGCTTTGCTCACCAGCAAGACACCACCAGCATGGTTCAAGGCCTCAAGGCGCATGAGCGCGCGTGCAGCATGAGGCATTGAAGTCCATGAGCCGCCCATGCAGCAATCTGGAAAGACCCGGCTGATTGTTTGTTATTTTGTTTTCTCTGCTGCATTTGGCAGGCTGTCGGTGGAATGTGGTTGCCCTTGTGATATACATCGAATGTAGCTTCTGTGCAGTCCTCAGGTCTCGCAATGGTGAGTAAGCTTCCGCTAACGGTCTGGCCATCTCTTGCTGCGTTGTCTCATGACTCAGCTGAACGGCCCATGATGAAAGCACCCAGATGTCTATGTTGCAACGCGCCTGGAAGATAAGCAGCGAAGCACTCGTGCAGCTCATGTGGGCATGGCTCAAAATAGAATGCAGGGGGCCGCAGAGTTTGTTGCTCCCTTCTACGGGGGGGTTGGAGGTACCCTTTCTGGTCGAGTCACAGGTCCTTTGGCTTCTTTCTTTTTGAGGGCGGCCTGGGGTGACTGAAGGTAAGGCTCAGCTTGCAAACTGCGGACAGCTGCAAGTTCATGGCTAGGGTCGAAACTCATGGTGCTGGGGTTATCGGTACGGATCAGGTTTCTGGAACCATGACCTTTCCCGTGCAAATTTGAACTCTGCCACATAAAGCTTGCTCCAACGTTGCAAGGCCACCATCAGCAAACATGTAGTCAAGCGCAGCATCAGTCTATCCCGGCATGTGTGTGTGTGTGCCTCTTAGACCACGCATTTGAAAGACCCGTCGATGGTGTCAACAAAGCTTGCATCCGAATAGCAAATGGCCGAAGTTCCAGGAGCATGTGGGGAAGCAATCGCTGGCTTTTGGCCATTTGCAGAACTTGAGGCGCTTTCGGCTTCGCTGTGATTGGCTCAGGTAGGGGCGGTATCAATGGACCGGCTTAGCCCTGTCAAGTCTAAGCGGGTGGCAACGCACAACGGGCCACAACTGTCAGCTACACTGGATAAGTGTTTGACCCCCGGCAACGTGCTTGAGCCACTGGATAAGTAAGCTACCCTTCATGGTTTCTACATCACATTTTGACCAACTTCCAAGCCGCTTCTCACTGGCTCGGTTGGACCGCGCAGATTCAGTTGGCCGTCCAGATCAGTCACTGTGGCAGATCCTTCGGTTTATCCCCTTGTGGAGCCCAGTCATAACTTGCAACCGCACCCGTCCCAAGCCCTTCGCCCTCCGAGTTTGGCGGCACCAAAGGTAGCCGAGCCAATGCGTGAGAGCATGCAGTCAACCATAAGGCCAGTGATGGACAGGCGGGGGGTTCGGGCCCCTGGTTCGCGGAGTTGTTCCGAGCCCACGAAAATGTGACACGAGCCCAGCGGAGACTTGCCCCGATTGATTTGCTGCTGTTCGATGGATCCGTCAAACTATTCAGTCCATGGTCACTTTGGGAGGGGCATGCAGCGCTCACAGCATGTCCCACGCAGGGGGACTCATGAATTGTCCCATGTACTTTTCGGTGACCGATGAATTTGACTGCAGTTCTACACGGCGCATACCTAAGTGCAATGAACATGCACACGTCATCATCGATTTGACATAATCCTGAGCATGCATTGGTACCCAAGGCCGTGCTATGAGGCACAAAAGGTGGGGCCGGATTCTGGGCGCATCAGCTGATGTACCCTCTACATGGACCCGCGCCGATCACTTTTGGAAGACAAGCTTCCTGTTGGAAAGGGCGCTCCTATGCTTGATGAATGGCTACCCGAGCCAAAGAACCAACTCTTCAACTTTGGGGGACCGAGCTAAAAGCAGACTTAGTGGCTGGTTTCCAAGGTCAGGTTGGAGGCCAGTGTCCCAGCAATGTTGGCAATCAGGGACAGACAGCAACCAAAATACGCAGCTTGAGCTTGAATTTGCGCGGGGGAGGGGCCGGGGTGCTTGGCATTTCTTTTGAGCTTGGAGCTCAGGTCGCTGGATGCGCTGCCGGCCATTATGCCTTCGCACCACCTTAGGCCGGGCCAAGGAGTGAAGCCATGTCCGGAGTCCAGGGGACGAGAGGCTGCAGGACTGCTGGTGAATGCTGGTGACTTCTTGCGTTTGCTTGCAGTGTTGGGACCACAGCACTATTTGCCAGTTTCAAGGCCCACCAGGAACAAACTTAGATTGATCTGGGGAATAACAGGGGCGTCCGCCTTAGTTGGCTGAGCTCACGAGCCTTTCAAGCAAAAAGTCATTGGCAGACCCGAGCCTGAGTCGTTAGGATACTTGTTATTGCTCATTTGCGAAGAGCCGCAGCTTTTTGCCAGCCCAAGCAGAGGTGCCTGCGCTTTGTGTTGCGGAACAAGTCTGTCCAATCGCTCTGGCTGTTCTATTTTTCACTCCATTTGTTTGTGTGGAGAAGGGGACCCCCAATACAGTCAGTGGTTTTCCTGTTGGCTTCCCCTTAAAACCAGTGATCCCGTTTTGGTGAAACCAGAAGGTTGGCGTCTTCCAGCGTTTGGCTATTTCGACTGCTCAAGGCTTGGTGGACCCAAATCTCCATGCTTTGCCCATGTCCATCTTTCATTCTGATGACCTGAATTTCATCTTTCAGTCCCCTGATTATATATATATATATATATATGTATATATATATCATTCATTCTGATGTAGCCCTGAATGATGATGTCCGCCAAATCCACGTCCCCCTTCGCAGCTGGTGCATCTCGCGCCAACCCCTACCCCGAGACCATCATCCGTCATCCGCAGGTCTGCGGGGCGTGGCCGCAAGCTGCCGGCGAGGCAGCCGATGACGGCCTCCATGGAGAGCCTCAGCTTGGTGAAGGAAGTGGAGGACACGTTGAGTCGACTGACGTCAACTGGCTCCCTGAGCTTTGTTTCTGGGTTCCACCACCTGGTCTTCGTGGTCATCATTCAGGTGGTTTGATTACCGGGGTCATCAAGTTCCCGAATCCTTGGTGCACAGAATTCGGTGGGGAGTCAGGTCCATCCACCACTTTTGGGGTGCGTTCCGACTCTTGCAATTCATTGCCTGGTGAGGTTGGTCAAGATGGATTCCACTGTTTTCAGTTCAGATATGTCACTGATTTCGGTGACGGGTTCTAATAATTGAGTGCTTTTCTTTTCTTTCAGGACGCCTGGGTTTTAAATAGCCCGCAATGTGTGAAACCGCAAGGGGATGAGATACTATTTCGGGTGTGGTTTCTCCATCGTGAGAATGGGAACCCAGGATTTAAAACCTTTAAGTTATCTTTGTTTACTCATGGGTGTTCGATTTTAAAGAGGACTTGGTTGAGGGCCCAACTAGTCGAGTTCGTCCACAGAGTGGTTTTGTAATCCAATCTCACAAAAATACCAAGCAGTTCACGAAGCGAGGACGCTGGCATGTGGGCAGCGCCCAAAAGCCCATTGGCCATTGTAGGAGCTGGTTCTATCGAGTTCTACCTGGTTTAATCGGTATTTTAAAAGCCCATACACAGAATCAAAACCGTTTTAGTTGAAGCAAGAGAAAATGGGTTGTGGGCGCTGCTCATTTGTTGCCTCAAATGTGCAGGTTTCGCAAGCTGTCCACTCCTCACTTCCAGATTGGAAAGATCAGTTTGGAAAACCCTAATCCCTCCAGGAAGTGGATCTGGTTTCCGTCGGCAGTGGGTTGAGCACTTTCTCGAGGTACTGGTAGGTGATTCAAGCAAACCCACCTTTGGTTTACAAGTGGCTTTGGGATCCATACAAAAGACCGTAAGGATCTGCGCTCACGGCGAAGTCCAAGGGTTTTGGTACCTGAGTTTGTGTGGTCAAGCAGGTCTGATCACAGCCAAGCACCTAGAGATCCCTAATGTTACCTTCCATGGTGGGTCTCAAATAACCCAAAAGTGAAAACGCTTCCCGTGTGAAGCGCCACGGACAGAACACCTTAACCACAACTGGGTGGCTTCCGCCCTTCGAATGCAGGATGTGCTCGCCAAGACAGTGTTAGAGAAGCCCCTTGCTTCTGCGGGCTCCCCAGAGAGGAGAATTCAAGTTCGACGTGTAGATTATTTGCTTGCTGGGTCTTAGTCCTGAGACCATTTCTTTGAGTCGTTTGGTTCGGCCTCTTTGTGTGATGTGCTGGTCGGCTGTTCCACGTGTTAACCAGCGCCCAGTGGTAGCCTGGACAAGGAGCTGTTAAACAGAAGGCACCCGAAAAGTCCAATGTCCTTCCATGTCAGTTGTTAGGGGAGTAGGGAATTTCGCCACTGTCAGTCATGTGTGTTTGTGTGTGTGTGCTATCCTGGAGAGAACATGCTGAAAGGGCGGCTTCCATGGTGAGTTTTGGCAGCCACAAATGGAGCTTGAACAGAAGGTCCGAAGGTACCTTAGCAAGTGTACTGATCTGGCAAAAAGGAAGCGTTACTTTCCATCTTAATGTTTATCCCTCAATAATATATTGGGATAACCCTTAAGAGCATGAAGGGAAGAGGACAGTCTTTATGAAGGGCGACTTATGAATGAGGACCGCAACTCAACTTGAGCCTTTGATCTTGAGGTGCAGATGCCGCCCTTGACAGCGCGGCGGAACTCGCGTCACTCACCAGCCCGGACAAAGAAAGCAGAGGCGGATGAATCCGAGGGACGTGGCTGGAAGCCTGGGCATGGGATTCGCAGTCTCAAAGAGCGCTTACGGAAAGGTGCCTTGATTGGGGGAAGGTGTCCTTTGGTTGGGATACCCAAGCTGATGGTTTTGATTGGCTGACTGGCCGCCTAGAGAAGGAAGCGCGCGTCGCGTCAGCCTTTCAATGGCTTTGGTTGGTTGTTGTGCTGTGTTGTTCCTGAAGCTCACTTCGCATTCAGCCATCAGCCACACTTGGTCATGATGATTTTTGGTGGCCCCGCTTCAAGCTAATTGTACCAGGTGGGACAGAGGCTTACGCACGCAGCAAGAGTCTCTCAGGTGAGGGAAGGCTACTTTCCTTGGGAGGTCGCCACTTCCATGGGACGCTTTTGCATGCCGTGGCAGTCAATCGCCTGATGCGCGAGATATTCTGAGGGGGGGCCAGCAAAAACACCATTCGGTACAGTCCCGAAGTGGGAAGGTTGCCATTGAACAGGCAATGACCATTGACTGAGGCACATCCACGTGTGCAAGTCTTCCTCATTGTTATTGCTTGTCAAGAAGGACTGGCGAATCTGAAAAAACGGATCCACAAGCCGCAAGTATAGCATCATGGCTGAGCTCGCTCTCGAAGGTGAGCTTGCCAAAATGGGTGTTCAAGGCCTGGGGTGGGCTGATCGCTTCAGGTGACCTTGCTGCCGGGCGTATTTCCCCGTGAGCGACAAGAGGTCCCGGATCTGATCACCACCATCACCTTCCGCGAGGCCCCCTGTCGCTCCTCATATTTGCGGCATTTGGCAACCATGGTTGCGCCGTTGCCACGCCTTAGGCAGTTGTTGTAAGCACAGTGGCGTGACATTGATACAGGAGTTGAAGCTCAAGCTTCAGGTCACCTCGTTCAACCGTTTGTTTGAGGTGACACGCAAGACCTGAGATCCGTGCGTCTTACGACGTTCGTGACCAAGCTGGCCGGCATCAATGTAACAAGAAGCCAGATCCCAGAAAGCCATGACCATTTCTGTCCGTGGGGTCAGTTTTCCCTTTTGTCCACGGGAGACCTGGGTGCTACAGGGCCTCACTTCCTGAGTTCCTGGACTCGATACCTTGTTGGGAAGACCATCTTAGTGGCAACAAACAGTTAACATATATGTAGATATAAATTATTTGTATATATATATATATATGGTATATGGTATATGTATATGTAAATGAATTGTGGCCAGTCTCATGAAGTGAGTGACACGCCCCTAGTTTCCCCAACGAACGCCTCGCAGATCGCCCGCACCCTTCCCGGCAGCCCCCTTCCGCGCCAGGGGCCTGCCACTGCTCGGGAACGGGGTCGCCAGGACTCGAAAGAGGCCCAGCAGTATCTGTTTTTTGTCTTCAGCCGATGTGGGGGTCAGGGCTTCCTATATTTAGCCTCAAAAGGTGGTGTGAAACATGGCCCTTCCTTGCCAGAAGGTGGTGCTAAACATGGCCTTTCCTTTCCAAGAAGGTGGTGTTAAACATGGCCTTTCCTTTCCAAGAAGGTGGTGTTAAACATGGCCTTTCGCGCCAATTTGTAGTGAGAATTGCCTTTGGTGGAACAGGGGTGGCTCGAAATCTGGGTTGTTCAAAATCAATCCGCAAGATCCTGCCGGATGGTGGTTTCCTTATTGTGCTGTAGGTGAAAAGCAGACATAGCACTACCACACAACAGAACAGGACGCAACATAGCCGAACCAAATCGGGAACGAGGCCTGGTGTCCGGTGCGAAGCGCTCACCTGATGGGCGTACTATTGGGCAACACCCGGCACACCAATTTTCGGGCTATAATTTGGGACACGAAGCAAGGGCGGCCATTCGAGCATTTTGTCCGCAGTCTTTCGCGCAAGCCTTCGCATGCTTTCAGCTTCCAGCCTCACTGCCTCAATGCCACGGACTTGGCCGAGATTCGCGTGCAAAGGGCTGCGCTGAGGGGGCTCTAACATTTGCCGGAGACAGCAAGGTGCACCCCTTTCAAGCATCAGCAGAGAAGTATTTGCGCAGCTTTGCCAAGTGTGGGTGAAACCAAAAGCAGCTCGCAACTTCCTGTAATAAGGTGCTGTCACTGGGGCAAGAGACGCTGATGAGCACACCCCGGCGCTCAAAAGGAAAGCAGCGGTTTGAATTCAACAGAAAGGTCATGAGCTTTGGGCAGCGAACCGTGAGACACCGTCCCTCGGGCGTTGGGGTGCAATAGCGCTCTGCATTCACAGCAAGCATCGTGCCTGTTCCTTTGCAACCGCATCCTGTTTTCAACCCTTCAGTTGCACTGTGCATCCAGGTTGTGCGGCCCAGCACCATTGGTCAATCCCATGCGAGCATCGGGAGGCAAGTTCGGCGTGCACTTGATGCCCTGCTGCCCCTATTCCTTGCACTCCGCCCGGACTCCCATCTTCCCACTGGCAGCACGGAGCCGCAAGGGCACACCCACAGCAGTAGACGCAGCGTTCCAGCTGTCGCCATGGGCTGCTCTCTTGTTGGCGAGAAGCGAGTGTAGCGTGCACATTGCGCCTGAACCCAAAGCTGGCAAACACTTACAAATGTTATCAATCGTGCCATGATACGTATCTCAACATATACGTACTTGCATACTTGTACATACATGTTATGTCCATATCATGTATATGTATGCAACATGTGCAATTAGGTACACATCTGCACACTCACCGCAAGCAACGGCGTAGTCTGTAGGTACAATCGTCGGGATACAGTACATTTGGGTGTGTAATCTTTTAGGGCACCCCAACAATGCTTGTCTTTACTTTCTTTTGGTTTCCCTTTGAAACCAGCAAAATGCGGGGGTACCATCAAGAAAAGGCACGCCCCCTTGGGCATACCAAGTCCGCGTCCAGGCGAAGGCTCGCTCGGAGTCCCCCACGCGAAGCGGCAGCTCGCCGTGGCCTGGCGATGGGATCTGTTTTGGGGAATCGGGGAGTGATGGTGAATCGGCGGGGGGGCCTGGGTGGCATTTGGCTGTGGTTTGGTACCATTTTGGGGTAGGTGCACTGGCACGGGATTTTTGACCCATGGCCACTTGAAGGCAGGGAAGAAAGCGGACAACCTCCGCATTTGGGCAGGGGTTCCGGAGGACAGCCCCTCTTTTGATGAAGGAAGCGGCATGAACCCTAGTTTCTAGTCTTCTACAGTGTGGGCATTTGGTGAAACTCCACCAGGTTCACAAAGTCCACCGAGCTTGCTGAAGTTCAATATGGATACTTCCCTGACAAGATGGTCTTGTGTGGTTTATTTTTGATCGTATCGTCTGTTGTAATGATTGTGTTCCATTGTCTAGCGTTCCATTGTCCAGCATATTTTGCTGACAAGTGCCTGCCTTTGGCGGTCTTGGTTACAGCCACCTACGCAGGTGACTGACTGAATGACTGAATGTGGACAGAGTCGGTTCGGCTCTCAGACGGGATCCCACTGACACAAGAGAAGCACCGAGTGATGCTGATCTAGTCAGCTTTGTTACTTCAGAACGAGCGGTGATGCTAGCGATTCCAGAATTCGAGCGTAAACTGTTCTCTAGTTTCTCGGAAGGTGTCAGACTATGATGTGGCCTGTCAACATGCATCCAGACATATATTTTGTAACAATATGCCGTAACAACGTATGACCTTTTCAATCATTGTGGCCTTGATGGACTGTGTTTCCAAATAGTCCGTCTCTCCCTTTCGTCCTCTTGGATCTTAGCCTCTGGCCTCCAAATTCTCTTCCCTGTATCCCTGGCTTGTCCTCCCCCCCGCCCGTACCCCCCCGGTTCGGTTGCCATCCCCCCAGGCCCGGCCATCCCTGTCACTGGTCGTTCGAGGAGCCCCGCCCGGCACCACTTCCTTCGCAAGGGCGCGGGCGCCGCCTACCAGGACCGGGCTTTGCCGAGCTCGGAGCTCGGAGCTCGGAGCTCGGAGCTCGGAGCCGGACTCGGAGCTGCCAGTGTAAGGACGCGGTAGGGTCTGTTGCAACCAATCATGGTTGCAAGAAGGATCCGAGCCCACCAGGGAGGGCTGATTTTGACTCCCCTTTTCCCTGACAAAAGGACGGGTACGTGCCCTCCAAGAACGACCCACCGGGTCTGTGGAGCCCCCCACGCACAAGGGATGGCACAGGGGGCCAGACATAGAACTGGCACTCAAACCTCCACGGCCCATCGCAAGCTTTCAACTCGGCATTCTGCACAATTTGATCAGTCTATCTGGTTTGTTCAAACAGCAGAAATACCATTGAGGCATGTTTGCTCAGAATCCAAGGCCTTCCGCGCTTGAAAGCTTTGCGAATAGCAATCCCGGAGATGCAACTTGTCCAAAGCCTCACAACCAGGACAATGTCACGAAACTGCACTAACAGACGCATACAACTTAGTGGCAGCAAGCATTGTCTTGGTCAAAAGCGTCGGTTTTGCTTGAAACCGTTTGAAACATCGCTTTTGGGAGTTCACCTCGTATCCATGGAGGTTGCCAGCACGCAGTGTCCATGTCAGAGGGTAGCTGATTCACCCATCTCCGGCCCATCTCCCTTCAGGAGGCCATGGCGAGACAGCGCCGAGCCCGAAGCTTGCCCAAAATGCGGGGAATCGACGGGGATTGGGGGAGAGTCTTTGAAAGAATCGGAGAGATCTCTGAATTCACACCGTTGCACGTCAAGCACTCCACTGCCCCAAAAAGATATCAGGCCCCGAGAGGAGGAGTTTTCTAACACCTGGGCTTTCTGTTCATGGGAATTTGGCGCCTTTCTGTGTGGAATAGAGCTTCATTTTCTTCGAGGGGTGCTGCGCCACTCACATAGTTGCGCCACATGGTATCTTAGGTGGCCGCTTTCTTTTTACACCAACTGCAAAGGCACACTTTGTGGTGGGTGGGTGTAAGTCTAAGGATCCCTTCTTTCTAGTCAAGTGGTTTGGTGCCGACTAGCTTTATTTGTTTATGCTATCTTGCTTTCCCGGCCACACTGGAATTAAGCGACAATCCGAAGACGCACAAGACTTTAACTGCCGTTGCTGCGATATCCTGAAATTTGGCTCTACAGAGCAGACTTGGTGTTCATGACCAAGACGGCAAGCTGGTCTTGTCACATAAACACGGCAAGGGGGGCGCGGTGGAGTGTTCCCCAAGAGCTAGTGAAGGATGCCCTTGTACTGGGACCCCTCCCAATATTAGTCCACCAGGGTCCATCAATCTTGGGTTCCCATTCATATGGACCGACAAGACTTGGGCTGGCACTCTTTTGATTTCACCGGTGACACTCGTTTGCGCGCGCCCGAGTCTGAGTTTCGACCAAGTAAAGTGATGATCGCTTTCCACCCTGCAAGATGCGATACTGTGCCGATGCCTTGAAGATGTGACTTTTGCGTGATGCAGCATAGACTGGGCAGACTTGTCTTTGCAAAGACATCGTGTGATGAATTCTGGCCCCGGAAGTGTCGAGCGACCAGTAGCTTGGAGTGGCGTGTGTTTCCTTGTTCCGTGTGTGTGTGTGTGTCTGTGTGTTTGCGTTGCAAAATATTCCCCTGTTTGATATGTTTCGTGGGGTGATGTGTCTGAGCGGAGCATCTAGAAGGCGCAGTTTGGTTTGGCCAACGGGAAAGAGGCGCCGTGGATCCCCCCAAACAAACATGCAAGTGAACCAAGCACCACCTTGTGAAAGAGTGGCAAGCCTCGGCCGCTTTCCTTGGAACAATGGCTTGGAGATGTCAACTTCAGTCTTGTAAGCTTTATTTGTTTGTTCGGTCCAGTCCATCTTCAGACATGTTTGGGGCGAAAACTCCCTGGACGCCGTTTCAGCCGCTCGAGGCTGGGGCCGGCCAGCGGACGACAGCGACAGCGAGCGCGAGCGGAGCAGGAGCACCAGCCGTCCGCCGCTGCCGTACCAAGTTCCTCCCCGGCCGTCGCCATCCGTGAGGCGAGGAATCCTTCGGGATGTGGGAGGGGAATCAGATGGACTCCGGTTTCACAGTGCCAAAAGGTTTGCGGCAAATAGTTTGGGGTACAGTTGATGCCTCTTCAAGGTCTTCTGCATTTGAGATAGCTCAGCTGCTACAACCTATACCAAGATGTCACGCGTTGTGTGGAAGAGACATTGCATCATCGCATTCTTTGCACCAGAGATCTCTCCGACTGACAAGAAAGCTGAGGGTCTCCGCCCGCGCAAAACGAAAGCTAGTCCGTCCGGGTCCCTTTGTCTTGACTTGAGGCGGCCCAGTGTGCAGATAATGCCGGAGGAGCCGAGGACGTCCTTGAGCCGCTTGGAACAAGGAATTGTTCTGAGTCTGCCAGGGGCAGCTGCATAGCAGCTGAAATTCTCATATTTGGACCTTCAAGGGTTAAACATGCACACTTTTGAGGGGAAATTTGGTGAACGGGGAAGCAAGAAGGGTAACAATTTAGGGTCCTGTAACCACGGCCGAATGCCCCTGCTTTCAAATGTCTTGGGCTCAAGTCTTGGCACGCAGCATCCTGGAGGACCGTTGTGGGTTTGTCAGATCAGCGGCTGGGCCATCATCATACCATGCCTAGTTTTGAGCCATGTGGGTCGTGGCTCCGAGCAGCGCACAGGGACGCGCAAGGAAGCAAGTTAAAGATACCAAGCGCAAGACGGAAATAGGAACAACCAACAAACGGGTTGAATCCCTTGAGCTTTCCCGTTTGAAACCAACCCCAAAAAGGCACCACCAAAATGGGACACACCCGAATACCACAATGCATGAAGAACGGCACACGACAACAGGCAAGAGTCGGAGACACAGCGCTGGTTTGTGGCGTTCCTGACATCTGCATGTGAATTGATAGTATCAAGCGTGGTTGTTGCTTTGTCATGATGCTTATGATGCTTTTCTGGCGCTCCTGACGCCTGCAAGTTGTTTGATAGCATCAAGCGAGGTTGTTGCTTTGTCATGATGCTTTTCAAGACTTGGGCCAAGCTGTTCAGCGCCACCTCTTCCGCCTGTTTTCTTCGGGTGGCCCACCAAACATGGTCAGCTGCGACTTGGTTCCCTCTTTTTTCCCAGGGTCGCTGGGCAACTGCTTCCAATCTCCAAGTGCTTGATCGACCTTGTTCCCTTTGCCCAGCATGCTCAACTGCAGAAAGGGTGCCCGCTTTTCCACGACACTGCGCAACTTGTGCAAACTTCCAATCTCCCAATGCTTGGTCCGCTTGGGGCGACAAGTCTCCGAGGCTTGGAGAGGTTTCCAAGCCGCACCCATACCGTGCACTCCCCGGTGCCGGAGCAGATCTTCGCCGCCCGTCGGAGCTGCGTTTCTGTAGACCGCTTGCTGGGGCCTTTGGTGAGTTGGTCAGTGGGGTATGTGCCAAGATTGGGATACGCACCCCCCCAAGAACGTGGACCCCCGAAGAAAACAAAAAACGTGGACCCCAGAATATAATATGAACCCCTCCAAATCTGTGGTTGCCTTTTTCTCTCCCTTTCAACCAGGACCCCCCGCAAGTCTCGGGTTGCCTTTTGGTCTCCCTTGAAACCAACCCCCAAAGGGGTTGGTTCTGCGGCACAAGGCTCGTTGTTGGGCGCCAAGGACGTGGGTACGTCGGCGCCGCCTGTGGCCCGGGTCAGCGTCTTGGACGAGGTGCCGCTGCCGGACGAGGTGCCGGAGAAGGAGGAGAGCGAGGCAGACGGGCAAAAGAAACTGCGATGAAGCGCGAGGGCGAAACAACCAGCGCCCTATGACACTGCTTTTTACAGGTACAAAACAAGCACCGTTCAAGAAGCAGTTGCGGGCAGGCATGACGTTTGGTGTTGGGCATAGTACTTTTGGCACTTCTGTTGGATCATACGCAAATATGTTTGTGTGTGTGAATTCTTTCGAAGCTTTCAGCTGAGTTAAGATGCCACGGGAGTGTTCCAATTCGCTGGGGAGAAAGAAAAAAAACCTTTGGCTCGGGCCAGGTTGGTCTTTGCTTTGGGCCATGGCGGTACTGCAAGGCAGTGGGATTGGTGACCTCGGAGATCCCTTTCAACGGGCCCGATGTCGGATTTCGGTACCTGGTGTTCTTCCCCGTGTCGCTGTCTGCTTGAAAGGAAGCCTCTCAAACACGGGGGTTTTCATGAAAGCCGCTCAAAAGTGGACAACCTTTGGGTCGCAGGTTCGCTTCCCCCGCGTGACCCGCTCATTCGGTTCGCTTCAGTTGCAGGTGGAGATCCAGGTGCTGGTCAGGGAACCGGAGAGGCGGGGCATCTCCGCGGGGCAGTTCGAGGCCTTCTTCGCGCGCTTCTGCGGGGACGTGATCTACGAGGAGCTCGAGGCCGGACGGGCTGGCGGACTGAGGGGGTGGGGTGTGGATGGCTTTGGGCGGGTGGGCTATGAGGTGGGAGGTGAGTGTGAGATGGGTTCGCAGTTTTCTGGAGGTGGAAGGATGAGAATGATGGGTTGGGAACGTTTTAAGGGTGGAAGGAATGTCCTCAGTCGGTATGGTTGATCCTAAGGATGGACGTTTAGTTTGCAATCATTTAGGCTATTCCTTCAAAAGGGTTGGAAGTGGGGCTTCCGGGGTGGTGGCACGTTGCTGCCTGTTGGCGAGACCTTCTACGGAGTTGCTCCAAAATCTGAAGCGCTTCCGGTTCATGCACTGGATTGTGCGGAACAAGACCAACAGATGCGCCTGATCGTCATGCTACGCCTGGAAATCACCTGTGCATTCTGAATTCGTCCACATCCAGATGCAGATGTTTGAGAATATGAGACACTATTGGAGACCCTATCGGGGTAAAGTGCCCTCGCGCACATGCTACTTTAAATGGGCTCTCGTCAAAACCAGGAACTGCGGGTTGGCTTCATGTTTGTTCCGCAAACATTTGTTTTGCGACCTCAAAGTATTGAGGGAGAGAAATGCAGTACACTGCAACACCAACCACCGAATCCGGCAATCATAGCAAGAACAAGTTCAGCTGGGGATAAGTTGAGCTCACGATAAAGGTCCTCACTCGGATTCTTGATGTCCAGCTTCTGACTTATCGCAATTTGTCCAGATGCCCTTGTAAGGCATGACTCGATTCCCTGGATCGAGGAGCCTGCGAAGCCACTGTGCCTGCCCACCACGCTCTGTCAGCCCGGCGCCCAAACCAAAAAAAGCGACACAGAGTGGGCCGAGACGACGGGCCATGGAGCAAAGGCAGAGGTGTCCTTTGGGGTAAATCGAGCCAGGCTGGTCCTTTACCTCGGGATCACATATTCCAGGTTTTTGAATATTGTAAGCAATTGCAAATGGATGGAGTCCACTGGTTTTAGTTTGGTTCTAGTCATTTGCCACTGCAAGTTCGATTTGCCAACAGAGCACCACTGCCAATAATATATATATATATATATCTAGTCTATATATGTTATTACTTGTTGATTTATTTCTTTATTTATTTATCTATTTACTTATTTATTGATTTATATATATATATATATATATACATATATATATGTGCAGAGAACCACTCAGCAAGTTGGCAAGGCCCAGGGCGCGGGCACCAGCGCGCGTAGGTTTTATTTGGCGCTTTCTGCGGGGCTTGGGCTAGACATTTGGGACCTTTTTTCGTGGGGGGCTTCAAATGGTGAAGGGTGTTGGAAGTGACTCTGTCCGAAGGAAGCGGAGAAAGCGGAAGACAGATTTCTTCTTAGCCACTGGAATCCTTTCCAGGTGAATGCCCATCCGAACCCGAGAGCCCCGAGAGCCCCAAGCACCGCAGAGAAACGGGCAGAGCGAACAAGCGGGGACAGCTGGGGCCCTATCCAACTGGGCACTGCCTTCTTAGGATCCACTGTCCCAACCGGGCCAAGAATCCAGCCGGAGTGAGTTTGCCAAGGCTTTGCGTGCAGGCGAACCGCAAGGACGCTGAGGCCAACATGGGGTTCTTTGGTCGTTTTGAGATAGGGGGCTCGACTCAGCCGATTTGGTTTTGCGCTGTTGCCCGCAAAGGGAGGTGGAGCGTCACGCATATGTTGGATCTGGCTTGGGGGATTACGGAATCGCGTTTGTGTTTGTGGTTGGGCTTCCATGTTTCAATGGCGGCTCCTAGATGTGTTGAATGTTGCTCGGCATCTGAAAGGTGTGCAAGGTTCTCGCCGACTCCTCAGGCAAAGACGCTCCTGTTGGATGACGAAGGGACATCCTTTTTGATCAACCAAGCAAGGATGGTGGGAGCACCCTTGACACACAGACGTGAAATGACTCCAATTCTCTTCGCCCTGTTCAATTCAACCACTTCTCCAGGCTTCGGACTATCTTTTGCAAGGATTTTTGGAAATATGGAGGTGAGCCCCTTGCGTGTCTGGACCCCTAAACTGGGAACTGCTCCAGGTCGGCTTAGCAAGGCCGGGCCTGAGGATCAATCAGGGACCTCTAGACCAGCGAAAGCATAGTTGATGGCAGCTCAGCTTGATGGACTGGTTTGCTTGCCTTTACCCTTGCTTTACCCCACCTTTTCGCTGGGGCTTGCCCTTGAGGGGCATGGTCCGGTCTGGCGCTAAAACCTGTGGGATCACGTTTCGCAGGTGCGAAACCGCTCCAAGCGGCCACGGGAGACCAACCTCTACGCAGTCACGGAGCCGTGGGAGCACTGGGACTGCGTCCGAAGCTCATGAGTACCCCCAACATGACCGGTGTCCTTTTGGTTTGTCTTTGAAACGGCCAACATGGGCTTTTGTAACCTCCCATTCATGAATTCATGGGCACTGAGCCTGTGTTCTGAAGGGGTGATGGTCTCACCTAAGCCTTTTTCTAGCTGAGCGCATGACGGGGGGGTTCAAGCCGCAAGGTGCAAAGGAACGTCGCGCCCTTTCCGTAGATATCCGTGTTTTGCAGGCTTCAAGTCAATTGCCATAGGCGTAGTGATATAGGTGGCTTGACAGTTAGGCACCTGCCGGCCTAAGCGCAGCCGAGAGGGCGACCCTGGGGTACCAGTCTGCCTGCAAGCTGCAGGATGTAGACGAGCGGGGAATTCCTGTTGTGTTCCTGTCCAACATGTTGTCCATGGAAACCAGCTACGGAAAAATCTCCAGGAAGGTTGCCAAACACCTACCAAAACTAGAGGTTTCGCTGACTTCATGTGGAAAGTTCTGTGTCTGGTTGCTTAGATGTATCTGGCAAAAAACGGATCCCTTGAAGAAGGAGGGTTCCTTTGTCACTGGGTGTGTCTCAGGTCAGGTGTTTGGGGGAGCGCCGTCCGCTCAGGGGCCAGCAAACATACTCAGATCTCGTAATATTGGGTAGGATGGGACACTCACAAACACCGAGATATTGCCCTCAGAGAGAAGTCAGCAGAAAACACATAGCCTGCAGATTCCTTTCTGCTCCCCGGGTTTCGCAAGCACCTCAAGCAACCCATTTCAGCGCACATCTGGGCGCATGGAAGGAGCTAATCATCATGCCGCAGACCAGGGAGAAGGGTGTGTCCTACTCGGAGCTCATCAACCCAGGCTCTTCTTTCAAAGTCCTCGGCAGCCATTGAAATCCGAATGAGGACTGTTCAAGATGTCCTTTGCTCCGGTTCCACGAGTTTTGAAGAAGGCAGAAGGATTAGGAGAATCCAACTAAAGAACTAATATGATTATGGACGACCATGAAGGACGGAAACGAAATGCAGGCGAAGCCTGAACAGTAGGCTCAGTGCTGGCATCCAGCGAACTGTGTGATGTGTTTGCAGCGGGAGCACCTGTAATACTGGTGGTGGTGGTGGTGGTGGCGGTGGCGGTGGTGGTGGTGATGGTGGTCGTCGTCATCGTCGTCGTCGTTGTCATTGTCAAAAAGAGTTGGAGCAATTTCTAGAAGCCCTAGTCTACCATGGGCAGCATCACTTTGGATTTGATGTTGGGGCAAATATTTGATGTATGGCTGCAGCCTTTGCAGCAGCCTCAGCTGTCCCTCTTATAAGGGCCGTGCTTGCAATATATTCCAAGATGTCTTTGGTGCAGGGCATAACGGGCGTGGAAAAGCCAAGCTCGTAAGAGACGAGGTCTTTCGTCATGTGTGGTGCTATCTTCCATTTGCTCAAGAATATGTTTTTGTTTTTCCCCCTGTTCTTGTTCAAGGGAATCTATCACTAGTGGAAGTATAGCTATGTTTTCCAGGGGGCTTAAGCAAATGGAAGTTATTGCTGACAGATGGACTTCAAGTGGACTACTTCATCAGCCACCACTGGGCCGAAGACTTTGGCGAGTTCGTGCAAAGTGTTTTGCCGCTTGGTCCAAAGCACCACGTCAAAATTGTGGGCCCCTGCTGGATTTTCTCAAAAGCAATCTGAGAAGTAGGAAACAATTTGGACGTATCCGGGGCGTTTTATACAACCCCACAAGCAGGCGTGCAGAGATTCTGGAACTGCAGAAGGGTTGGGTCCGGCTGCCTATAGTATGCGTTTCATCCTTTCGATGATTGCTGTGTCACATCGTTCTTTGTTGGTCAGCTAGACGCCTTGATAAACCTTGGATCCCGCCACAGCTATCACTTCACAGTGCTTCTGAGAAGCACTTTATGTGGACATTGGTTCACTTGTTTGGCACGTTTTAAAGACTCTTTGAGGAGGTTCCACAGATCGGGAAGACAACTATAATTCTTCCACTGGTGCCTCTACATATCTCCTTTGCCTTGCCACCATGAGGGACAGTTGCAGCTGGTCTGAGAATTTGAACCACCCAATACCAGGGTCACTAGGCAACTGGACCAGTTGGAAGGAGTTTCACCTGCCGGCGTCTGTCTGAAATTTGCCCAAACAGGATGGTTGCGCCATGCCAGCCTGATCATCCAAGAAGTTCGTTCAAGGTTTACGTTTTATCGCCTGGGAAAAGCAACTCCTGCCCTCCAGGCTTTGCACAAATCATTTTCGGGCGACCTCCAAAATTGCACAGGCGGCACAAGGGAAGCTTTTGTTTCCTTTCAAAAAACCCGAGCAGCACGCCTCTCAAACGCTCGACGCTCGCTTCGAGGGTCAAACCTCAAGCCTGTGGAGTGGCACGTGCAAACGAAAAGCGTAGCAAGGGCAATGCATCGCGATTGAAATCGGACAATTGAGCCTCACGAACTCGGTTCACGCAAACAAGTCGACTCCGTATTCTGATGGATGGCCTCTGAATTCGTTGAACTGACAAAGGACTCTGCCTCTAGGAATCCAGATGGCCCAAATTCTGCGGCCGCGCACCAAATGTCCCATATCAAGCTCAACCACAAAGCCACCAGATACTTCAAGTCCAAAATTGCGAGCCCTCGCCACGCCAACAAGGCCGGTGCAATGCATACTCACAGAGGGCAGTGCAGTCACACTAACATATTCCTGTACGTCCATGTATAGGCATTGCGAGCCTTACAAAATATTGCCTCAGATTTTGTTCGCGATGTGTCGTTTTGTTTGGCAAACGATCCAGCCAATCAACGACTTCGCCTCAGGAGACATGCCATTGTCGCAGCGCCTGAGATGGGAGGAGCCAAAGACTGGCGCAAGGCAGGTGCCGATGCTTGTTGTGGCGGTTGGCACTCTTGAAATAGCGGTTTGCTTTGTTGGATTGATTGCTTCAAGGCTTTTGCTTGCTTTGTACTGGACATGGCAGCTGTCTCGAGGCTTTCAACTCATCGTTGGGGCCGTTTTGTCCTTTGCGTTTGCCATGTGAGCCCACAGCCACCACTCATGCCCCTGGCTTCATTGAGAACATGATGTCGCCCTTCGGTTCGATCTTTAATCTTTGTACCTTTTGCAAAATCACAATGTTCTCACAAACCAGCAGCAAGTGAAGCTCTTTGAAGGGCGTAAAAGACCTTCAGAAAAAGGGGCGCCAATCGTTTGCAACCAGGGAGTTGCAGCCGATGATAAAGCCGCAGGTGGTCTACTGGTGCTGCGCCTTTGCGAACAACCAGCACCAGGTGGAGCTAGGACGGGGGGGGGAAAGATTTCCTGAAGCGAGCAAGCAAAACCTGGTGCCCCTGCCTTCCATTGGTTCATGGCCACTGGACTGAATGGGGCAACTGAAGAGCCAGTTGCACTTTTAGGAGCTCTTGCGCAAGCAACTTTAAATGCCGCTTCATATAGACCAGAACCAAGCTTATCATGTTCGGTTGGGGGGCGAAAGCTGCGGGGTTTTTCGCACTGCCTGTTGTTTCGCTATGGGTGTGGTTCCTGCAGGATTTTGGGGCAGTTCTCAAGGGACGAATGGCCAAAAGGATACCCACCATTTTGGGGGGAACCCTATACTGAGGCTGCGCTGGCAAATATGGAAGGGTTGTTGTCGCAGGTTCTGTGAGCGCTTTCGCTCGAATTTCCAGGGCCAAGGCCAGCTTCGCAGTCTGGAGCTCCACCGAAGAAACAGCCTGGTGCCGGTGTGTTGCTGGATTGGGGATTAGTTCTTCAGGGGAAGGTTTGGGTTGCCCCCACGGGTCATTTCGGCATCAGAAGGAGCTCTGCGGGATACCTCTCTCAATCAGTCGTTGTGAGCTGCCAGCGGTCACCATGGGCACCGTATCGCTGTGTGGACGTCATATCTGACGGATAGACAAGCTGAACGACTCGCGAACGCGGCGCTGAGACATCGTCTAAAAAGTTCAGCACCTCCGAAAAGACTTTCGACGCGCCAGCAAGATTCGCGGCTTGGCTCGAACCCACAGTTTGCGCCACTGTCGCTCAAGTTTCCCTCACGAGGCCACCAAATGCAGCACTCTCCAACCCAGCCGGACCCGGACCCGGGACCCGCTGGCATCCGGCAGACAGGAGAGACGCTGCAGAAGAGCCCCTTCTACCAAGCGCTGAACTCCAAGAGCTGCAAAGGCACGGTGATGAACCTGAACCAGGCAGCCACGGCGCTGGACCGGATCTGGCGCCCTAGAAGTGAAAAGTGGCCAGGCGGACCTGGGAAAAGCATGGAACTGCGGGGGTTTGGAGGTTGGAGCTGGCTGGATTTCAGACTTTGTGGCGTGGCAGTTGCGAATATTGCGCCGTGTTGGTCGTTGATTGTTTTCTAAATAGGACTTGTTGTCATCTTGTGATCAGTGGATGCCTTGGTGTGTGATCTTGTTTTTTATGGGGGGTTTGCGACAAGAACTCAAAATTGCTGAGAGTAAGAAGTGGCTGTTTTTTGTTTTTGAGGAAACCCTCGCAGGTGTCGGTGTAAAGTGCGAGAAGAAACCACACCTCTTTTGGGGTTCTTCTAGAGACTAGAGACCAACCAACTCAAGGCGCAGCCATTTGATTTCTTCCCTTCGAAGGCGTGAGGTCCTGATTCACCAGGGATTGGGTGGTACAATATTGGTTTGTCCGAAACTGAGGTTTTTGGACCCCCCAACATTGTGGCGTTGAGTTTCAGTCCCCCCCCCACAAACCCTATAAGCGCAACTTTGGCAGCTTTGTTTTCTTGTGGAATTGGATGGGAGCGTGGGGGGCTCACACTGTGCTACCTTCTATAGACCCCAACCCCCATTCCCACAGGGGTGAGGGGGGGGTGGGAACCATGGACCGCCCCCCACCCTTGACTGAGCATGAGCATTGCGGGGAGGTTGGGGGATCATATATATATATATATACATATTGTTCCCCGATTGCCTGGCCATGAAAGCTGTTCAAGATGCATGTGCCTCTACAACTCAGCCAACATGGACTGCGGGACACCCACCATTGGTCTGGAGCACCACAAGCAACCTGTCAGATTGGCAGGTGGCCGTGGTTGTGGGGATGTTGCCCCTTGCCATGTTGCACCCTTCTTTCCTTTCAAATGGACCTATTTGCAAGAGATTTCGAGGTTGCACTTGTCTTCTTCATGGCTTGACTTCACCAAAGATCTCGGATTGTCCACGCTTTGTCCTTTCTGGTTTTTTTTGTTGAATTGCATCTGTTTTTGTCAAAGATGGGTAGACCCTGCAATTGTGCAGTGGCCCAAGACGCAGACCGAGAGTTTCCGTGCTTGATACCTTTTGGGAAGATCATTCTAGTTGTTTTGTTGGCGAATCCAATCACGTGAGAAGAGCTGAGGTGCATCTACGAGGTCTACTTGACCCATTTCTTGGAGAAGCCTTTCACCTTGAACTTCCGCCTGGGGCCACTGGTGGGGGTTGTGCAAGAGACCAAGGAGCGAGCCGACTGGTTGTTGCGCGCTTTGGGGCGCTGAATCAAAGCCGACCCTTTCTCGGCTCAAACATTGAAACATCGCGAATCAAAACGGACACACAAGTTGGAGATTTGTCATTGACGCGTTTCCATAGCAGTTAGCTATTTTTTCCAAAGTCCGGGAATTACAAGAACCCACGGGGCAACAGTGGATGTCTTTTACGTTTAGAGCAAAGGTGTTCAGGATCTAACAGCTTTCAAGTGCATCCATCCTTTGTGGGAATGGTTTCAAAGCTGCTTTGGCTATTATAGACATGTGACGTGTTAGACCATTAACGTGCTGGGCAGCTGACTGGATTTTGACGGCATAGCCTGCCGGGGAATCAGGGTTCCACCAATTGCCCGACAGGAGAAGGACTCTTGGGTCTTCCACATCTTTAAGATGCTCCAGCACATCGATGTGCAGCAAGCTGACGCGACCAACCCTGATGACTACAAAAAGACCTTGGGCTGACAAACTGGTTTAAAGAAAGGGCGGGCCGACGTCGCCTTGTTGCCTTGAGGCCTCGGGGGCTTGTGAAGTCATCCTGGTGTATTTTGGACCGATGGTCGGTGGCCAGGTTTGAGTTTTGATTGCTTTGCCAAGCGGCCAAAGGGAAGGTGTCGTTTTGTGTTTGTTCAAAACAACATGTTTCCCATTTGTCCAGAAAGAGACGACTGGTTGACCCTTTGGGTTTTGCCAAGGTCCCCAAATGCTAGCCTTTTAGTTCCATGTCATTGCATTGGGCAGGTGAAGTTTGCCTCAACCGTAGAAATGTGAGAAGCCGCAGGCGTGACTCAAAACCCGCCCACCGCCGCTTTCAAACGGCCTGGCCCGTTAGGTTGGCCGAAGCGGCAGAAGCGAATCGAAGGCAACGTTGGACAGGGCCCAAGTTGGAGGCCAAAACAAACTGGAGTTCCAAAAACAGCGGGGCATTCGGATTTAGTGTGCCCGTTTGCCAGATTGTTTGCTCTAACGCACATGTTGCTGAAGTTGTTTAAGGGATGCCCGACCAGATACTAATACATCCCAACGCCGTTTCTCGAAATACATAAATGAGGCGTGCGATTGGCAAGCACTAGTGAGACTGTTTCGCACTTTCCAGGGATTGATCAAGTCCCCTCCAAGCGAGCTTGGGATATTGAAAGTTGCAGTCAGGCTGCGTGTTGCGGATGCGAATCATGTTGGAGTGCATTGAGAAATCTTGGACCATGACTATGGCCCGCAGAGCTTTGATCATGGCCGAGTTCGGGCGAGGATCATGGGGGAGATCGCACACTTCAGCCGAGACAGCCGCGCGGGACCGGAGGCGTTGAACCACATCGTCAAAGCGATGCTAGGCGGGGAAGCGGAGTCCCACGTCAGTGATTCATCTTGGCGCTGTTCCCATGTTGTGCGGCGGCCTACTGGCACTTGCCAGGCCGTCCAACACATGTTGGTGCTTGTATCGCGGGCTTGCTGTTCTTAACCCCAAAATACTGTGTCGGGCGGTGGCGGGGACATAATGTAGATGTGCTTCCTGGTTCAGGGTGTGCCTTGGACTGGCGCTGGGGATCGCCGTAGTCTGGTGCACTGCTTGCGGGTGTCCATTTGCTTTTTTGTTTTGCTCGTTGGAGGTGCACCCTTGCCGTTGACAGCTGTCTTCATGCGGCTTTGCTTGCTAGACGTTGTGCTCAATGAGATTGAGTTGTTAACCATTGCATGTGTTCAGCTTTCGAAGGCTGGACAGAGCTGCCTGTCCCGACCTGGGTGGATGTATGCTGTTTGCATCGACAGAGGATCATTGTAAGGCCTCTATGGTCATCCCCGATTCCCATGCTTCCACCGGGCCGACACCTACATGTGTGTGTGTGTGTGTTTTGCCAAGTAGCGGATTTGCTAGGGCCCTTTTCGGAAAGGTCTTTATAAACTATGACACCAGACAGGGCGGTCCAAACCCTGGGTCCATCAAAATAACATCCACCAGTTACCCCCCGCATTTTGCGCTGGTTTCAAGGGAACACCCTCCCCCAAAAAGCAAAACAACCACACAGTGCGGTGGTTTCAAGGAAGCACCCCCCGCCCTCCCCTCCCCCCCAAACAAAATCCCAGAAAACAACAAAATCCAACCCGCGGGGAATCAGACGCCTCAGCCGCCGCCGGAGGCTCCCAGGCCATCTTCACGCTGGCGCGGCGCGGGGACCTGGTCTCGGTGCGCCGCGCGCTGGAGCTGGACGCGGATCCCAACATCCCCGACACCTTGGGCCCCCCGGCGCCGTCGGAAGGAGGGGTTTTCCGTCCCCAAGGAGGAGGAAACCTGCGTCAGGATGTGGGGGGATGACCTCGGAAGAAAAAGAAAAAGGTTTCATGGGGATATAGGTGGTCGTTTTTTGTGGTTGTTTTTTCTTTTGCGTCGTATCGGAGATGGGAAGAGTTCCCCTCCAATGAGCTTTCTGGGGTTCATCCGCCTCAAATTTGTTGTTCCAGCTCGAAGGGGGCAACATGTGAGTATTGGCTTCCTGGTTTCGGATCCCAAAAAAAAGTCCAGTCGGTCATTCATGGTCTGTAGCCGGCGAGTGCTAGTTTGCTACCAAGGCCGACAAGTTCAGGCTCGGTAGGAAGCACATTGCGTCGGGGAACCCAAGCTTAAACCAAGCCTACGCCAACCTAAAGAAACCCTAAAGAAACCCTAAAGAAACCCTAAAGAAACCTCAAGCCCGTCCAAACGACCCTACACAAAAAGCAACAAACGAATCCTTAGCCAATCCTACAACCCACCAACCCTAAACCCCCCGAAATAAAGACACTAATGAAGAAAGTGTGTGATTACAAAGAAGATGCTGTTTCTGATGTTGGGGCACGCTGCTGAGTAGATTTGGGGTGGATTACGGATGGTTTAGTGTTGGTTTGATTTGTTTGGGGGTTTAGGGGCACGGTTGGTTTGGCGTTTGCTTTGGGTTTGGAGCCGGCTAAGGGTGGGAAAGCCACCCTAAACCTACCGTAACCTCCATAAACCAGCACCAAACCATCCCAGTACTTAAGGCACAGTCAAACCAACCGAGCCTACAGCCCGGAACCAAGCCCATGGATGTTGACGGCGCTGGTGCAGAGCGAGCGCAGTTTGCTTGAGAACATGCTTTAAACTACGGCATGTTTGCAACCCGGGAGTGAAAACAAGAACCATCCCGACAAAAATGAGCAACACCTGGATTGAGTCTCGACCCTCAATGATCCCCAACAAACGTGGGCGAATGTTGAAATACGCTCACCGTAGGAATCCACCATTTCAAAGCATCCTTTTGCTCTGGGCTCGAAGCA